ATTGAACCAACTTTTCAGTCTTGTTTGCGATTCAACTCGCGATTTCATATTGAATGCGAACCTGTTATGTGTGTGTGTGTGTAAATAATAGAACGGTTATTTTTACGAAAATTCCTGTATTGGTGCATTCCTGTATTGGTGAAACCGGTACTGTTCCTTCTCAGTGGCTGGTAAAACCAAGCATCTTGTTTGTTTTTCATTCTCAAATTACTACGGAGTATAAGTTTATTCTTTTTTATCTTGTCGCCTTGGTAGTAGGAGCAGATTGAACATTGAAGTGTCTACGTAATCTCGAGATTAAGGAACTTGTTTTCATTTCATTGTAGCCCTGAGCTACATGATTGTATTGTTCTTATTCACTTTATCAATAATAAAAGTTTGTTTTCTACAAAATACACAATGTCTTTTATTATAAAAAACGTCAATAAAAAATCATTGAAGTAGCAACCTCTATGAGATATTCTAATATGTTCACCAAGGAACTCTTAATTGCAAGTTTCAAATTGAGTACTAACTGCACATTTGAGAGTTAAGAGCATTCAAGGCCACATTTGTTATGCGTGAATCAATTTAAAAAAGTTACAGAACACTACTAAATTCTGACATGTATGAATGTATCTAGTTAGTATCTAGTCAGTCACAGGGTTTACAAATAAAAATAAATCTCTTCACATTTGTATATTAAATTAAGAAACCTAACATTCTCTCAACATCTTGAGATTCTTGACTACTATGACTAGACCTCAAATTTTGAAATAAAAAACGCTGAAAAACCATTAAGATGATAGCATTTTTCTCTTCAGAGTTCAGAAGATGTAAACTCTTATAGAATGTTCAAGAGATGTGCATGTATTAATTTTGAAAGTGCCAATGTAACCAAACGATGAGGTTTGGCAATTTATACCTTGGGATCGATGCATCATGAGGATGGTGCGTCTGATCCCAAAACGACGCAGCATTTACTATTTTTTTTCTTTTATTGTTAAAAATTGCAATAACTTTTTTATTTGATATCCGATTTTTATAAATTTTATATTAATTTTTTTTATTTTTCATGATCTATCAAATGAGATCAATATTGCTTATGTAATTTTAACAAATTATTTTGAAGTTACATTTGATAATATATCATGAAGTTACATCTTCTTCTGTGCGAGTTACATTTTATTGTACGCGAGTTACATCTTAATATACACGAGTTACATCTTAATGTATGTGAGTTGCACCATGAAATAAACTCCTGCTACATCTTTCATTTTTATCATTTGAAAAATAGTGTATGAATATGAAATACAATATACTTATTTTATGTGGATTAATAAAATTTTGTATCAAATTGGCAAAGAAAAAAATTAATTCAGTTATAATTGAATTAGTTCAAGATAAAGATAAGTAAAAAATCACAAATAATTAGATATAACTCACACATAATTACATGTAATTCGCGCATAAAAGTATGTAACTCGTGTATAACAAGATGTAACTCACACATAACAAGATGTAACTCACACATAATTACATGTAACTCGCGCATAAAAGTATGTAACTCGTGTATAACAAGATGTAACTTACACATAACAAGATGTAACTCACACATAATAACTTGTAACTGGAGCATAAGATGATGTAACTTCGTATATTATCAAATGTAACTCCAAGCTAGAAGCAAAATAAACAAACTCAATATCTTAAAAACCTCTAAAACATATAAAAGTGATAAAAAAAATATTATAGAAAAAGTGTATGCATATAAAAATATATTACAAAAAAATGTATGAATGTAAAAAATTAAAATTACATAGGCAATATTGATCTCATTTGAAAGATCATGAAAAATAAAAAATTTTGGTATAAATTTTATAAAAATCGAATCAAAAATAAAAAAATTATTAAAGAAATAAAATTGATTTGTTTATCCCCGTATCCTGGCCTGTGTTGGAGTGTGGCGTGATATTTTTCTCATCAAAACTTCAAGGATGATGATTTTGAGCATTTTTTTATGAATTTCAGTTTTAATAATTTGAGTAGAGTTGTGCTTCTACGTTTCCCCTTCAACTTAGTGTTGGACTCGGTTCGGGCCACCCGGCCCGGGAACCGGCCCGGCCCGCTATTGTGCGGGACCGGCCTGGCCCGATTCTTCGGGCCCAAAACCGGTCTATGGCCCGGTTATAGAAGATGAGCGGGACGGGCTCGGGTCGGTAAAAAGGATGCCCGGCCCCGGTTCGGGCCAAATTGATTTTTTTTTTCATATTTTAGGCTCCACCCGGGTTGGGCTTGATGTTTAGGAGGGGTTTGGGGGGTGGGGGGAGGGGGGTCAAGGATAGGTAGATAATCAAAAAAAAATTACCCAAGCCCGAGGCCTGGCCCGGCCCGGCCCGAACCCGGTGGCTACCCGCGCCGGTCCCGGGTCCACCTACTCTGAACCGCCGGCCCGCCTGGGCCTAGGCCCGACCCGAACCCGCCCCGCCCCGAATCCATACCTACTTCAACTGGAGTATAGATGCCCTTCAACTTATATCTTTAACATCTAAATCGGTTAGAATTTCAGTTTTTCCATAAAAAAAATACTTTGATTTTTTCAAATAATCTCTTATACGTATAATTATAAATCTCAAGAAGATGCATGAAACTGAATCAAATTTGCAGAGAAATCGTATTCATATAGAAGAAGAGCTTCACTAGGAGTATAAAATATACTCCCTCCGTTTCACAATCTTTATCACATTTTCCTTTTTAGCTGTTTCAAAATATTTGACACACTTCTATTTAAGGAATTTTTTGGCCTGCAAATTACCACCCTACCCTTCCAATTAAAACACTCATCCGCCCCATTTATTCCAACAAACTACCCCATTTACTCCTCACCCGTTTACTCTTCCCCATCAACCGCACCCCATTTACTCCTCAACCCCATTCCTCTTCCCAATCAATCGCCCTATTTCTTCTTCTCGTTTATCTGCTCAACCTCTACGCTGCTACTCATCTACCACTTCTCTTCCAACGCAACCCCTTCCCATTTCACACCGATCCGCTGCTATCCATCTACCCCTTCTCTTCCAACCATCTACCCGTGTCTCTGGTGGAAGTAAAAAACCCTCCTCCATAGTTAAACATGTGGAGGTTGTGCCTTGCTTTCGTCCATGGAGACTTCATTTCGGGGATTCTAGTGAGGATGAGACAGATCCAAATTGGGCTATTCGAAAAAAATATGGGGACAACCTTGTGTCCGACACATACGAATGGCTGGATGGCTCGGTGGAAGATGAAGAGGAGGTGACTTCGGCAGCGGCGGATGCAGGTGACAAGCTGACATGTTCTGAGGACGAGGCCGAGTGGGAGGAACATTATGCACGCCACTTCCAAGGGAAGTAGCTTGTACTCCTTACTTCTCTGTAATTTGACTATATAGTCATGTTAATTGAGTTTTGGGAAACTAATGATGTTATGGGGCTTGAGTTCATGTTGTCTGAATTTGTTAAGCTAGTGTTTAGCAGTGATGACACCCAATTTACATAATTGTAGAAGGCTCTTTTGCTATTCACTGATTTTCTGGAAAGTAAAGAACAATTTACATAATTGGGCTTGAGTTCATGTTGTCTGAATTTGTTAAGCTTGTGTTTAGCAGTGATGCCACCCAATTTACATAATTGTAGGAGGCTCTTTTGCTATTCACTTATTTTCTGGAAAAAATTGTAGAGTGAAAACATAAGTGGTCTTGTGCATTGCAAAATGAGTACCTGCCATTTAAATCTTTGAATTTGGGCTTACAAAAAATTGTACAAGTTGTACATGGCAGTACTTCAATATTTGTACTTCCATACCAGTGTACATACAAATAGCATAAAAAAGCATTAAACCGTTCATATTTGAAGAACCTGTCTATTCTTCATTCATTAACTGTTATGATGTTTGACCTGCATTGGTTGTTTCCAGTTGTCCAGTGTAGTATGCCCTAGTTGTTTCATACAGTTCTGCACTAATTTGGACATTTCTTGGTAATTGCCCCTGCTTTTCCAATCTGTCTCTGCCTATATGGCTCAATTTGAAATTGTTGCCTCCCATGTTCTGCATTATTCCTTCCATTACACATTGAAAGCTTATAAAAACTTTGTTCAATGTCCTTGGTGTAAGTTCGTTGAATGAAGTTTGTACAGCTTCAATTAAACCTATAATATTCTTTGGCCCCTTTTGATCTTTGATTGAATCAATTGCTCTAAAGAACCCCAGGTCAAGAACATTCAAGTCTTGAATATTTGGAGGTTGGCATTTCAATTCAATGTTCCAACCTTCATTGGTTGCAATCTGTATAAATTCTGGATCGTTAAGCAGTGAGTGAGGCCTGGCATTGTCTTGTTGTATTATAACATGTCTGCTTCCACTTTCTGGCCACTTCTCTTTGATTGTTGGGATAACTTTGTTTAGCATCATGTCTTTGATCACAGTCCTAGTCACACCGAGTATTGGTTTTGTCTCAACTGTTCCAACTGGTCTGTTTTTGCTAGACCTTTTGGCTAGTTCTTGATGTGTGAATGGAAATATGCCTACTTTTCTATCCCATACAACCTCTCCAGTATCTTTTATTCCGGGCCTACCAACAACAGCTAGGAACATTATCTTAGGAATGATTTTTTTTATTGTGTTGTTCTGTATGGATCCTCTTCTGTTGGAACAGTGTAGAATGTGGTTGTTTCTTTTTACAGATAAAACCACTTTTCATCAATATGTATGTGATCGTAGAAGTCATGAAAAGTAGGGCTTGTTGGTATGGAATCTGGAAGTATATGACTCAAACAGTACTCTAACCTTTTCAACTTCCCAACATATGAAAGCAATGGCTTGATAGCACTAGAATGCCTCTTGATTTCCTTTCTGTTAAACCATTTGCATACTATAGAGGAGGAAACTTGCACGTGAAAGCCCAAAGCTCTCATATTTTTCCTGTTATGCAATGGGATTTCTTTCATTTCATGACTGTCTAAAGAAATCGTTTTTCTGTCTACATTACCTTTCCAGTTGCTTTGCAAGTTCATGACCCCCAACATGTATTTGTTCTTTTGCTTTCTTCCAGATCCTGTGGACAGTTTCTCTACTCACTTTGAACTCCTTGGATATTTCAATAATAACGCCCCTCTGAAGTTTCCCTGCACTTACCATGCCTAACAACTTTTGTGCTATGCGATGTTTAGTTTTTTGGTATTCTAGGCCTTGTATGCAATGATGCCCCCCCCCCCCCCTCCCCCAATTTTTTTGTTCAAACATTTGTGCAGGTGATATGGAGACATGTTGATCTTCTGGAGGCTCTGCGAGAGGTGTCACTGGTTGATCTTCTGCGCATGGTTGATCATCCGGAGGATCTTCTAGGACCTGTGCTTCTTCCATTCTTGTTTTGTAGTGTTTTGTTTGTAATGAGAACTTCTATTTGTAGATGTAATCTGATGTGTTTGAAATATTTCAGGTTGTATTGGAGGGAATTGTAATGTTTAGGAGGGAAATGTAATGTTTAGAATATTTTAGGCTGTATTAGGAGCGAATGGTTGGAAAGGAACCCGGGTTTTAATGTCATGTACTGTAGTCGAAGCGATGGTTCTACAATAAATGGCCGAATTCAGTCCAAGTTATGCTTCCTACACTTTTTTTACCGCGCCTCCCATTAAGGGTATTAATGGAAAGTCTTGCTCAAAAGTTAAATTCCCTTAAATGTTGAAAAGTCCAACAGTGGCAAAGATTGTGAAACGGAGGGAGTACATAAAGAAGAAAATTTGGAAGAAATCATACCATACACCAATAATAAGGAGAAGGCAAATGAAAAGCTTGAAAAGATATTTAGATAATAATTAAATAAAGTTGATTGAATATGTTTTGAATAATTTTGATGGATATGTAATATAATGAGATCATTGATGATAATTGTGTTATTATATGTGTCTTTAAAAAAAATAGAAACATGAACTTTTAATTGGGACGTCTATGAGATGGAAATGACACAAGTTCCTTCCCTTTCAACCATAGTTTTTATAATTTTAGATAACGTTATCTATTTCCTATTTAATTAAATGATGTTATAAACAAAAACAAAAACATGTAGACACAAAGAATGAAGAGTTTTGTAGAAAAATTGCAGAGATGATCACATACATAATTTATTTCCTAGGCCTAATTAATTGAATAATATATATGCAGAAAAAAATTGGACATATTTTTCTGTATATATATATATATATATATATATATATATTTGGGCCTAGGCCCTAGGGCGATTGCCCTTGTTGCCCCCCTCCCCTAGGACCGACCTTGCATTCTAGACCCGGGTCCATCCTAAGTCCCGACTCATCTAGAATTCAATTTTATATGAGCTATTAAGGTAAAAATTCATTAAAAAGAAGTTCTCAAAATTTCTTTGTAATGATCAAGAAATTTATTAAGGTATTACTTCCTCCGGTCCTTATTAAACTTTACAGTTTGACTTCACACATATTAAGAAAATAAATTTGACTTTACTGTAAAGTACACTGTTTGACACTGTTTGACATTGTTTAACATTGTTTTGTACAATTTGGTGTAGATTTGTTTGCAAAATAAGGCAAATAAGAAAGTGTAAAGTTTAATATGGGACGGACCAAAAAGAAAAGTGTAAAGTTAATTAAGGATCGGAGGGAGTATTAAGTATTATGGATGCCTCCTCCGATCAGTATTATTAAGGTATATCCAGCCTATTTTGGGAGCTTCCGCCACACGGATACCATTTAAATTTGGTACATTAGCAAATAAATATATGACATAACCGATGTAAGCAAAAAATATTTGGTGCAATCAACTGATAAACGTGCAATTGTGTAAGCGAATAAACCGTAATAATTTGGTAAAAGCGGATGGTGACGACTAAAACCTTCTTTGTTTGGACAATCTTATATTCTTATCTCAGAATTATGTATATTAAATATTAATACTATATATATAGGGAGCGATTCCGGTAAGAACGGACTCCCGGGAGAGAAATGAGAATGAATCTGGACCGTTGGATTATATTATGTGGAACCAAATTGTGCATTTGATGAAACTGAAATGTGGATTAGATTATATTGAAATGTGCAGAATAAAATTTTTAACTCAAGTGTGCATTAAATGAAACTGAAATGTGCAAAATAAAAGGTACAAAAATAAAATCACATCATACCCTTTTATTTTGCACATTTAAGTTTCACCTAGTGCACATTTCAATTTCACATAATGCACAATTCAGCTTCACATAATATCACTGTATCGTATCATTTGCGCTGCACAATTCAATTTTACCTAATGCACATTACAGTTTCATCTAATGCACACTGAATTTCACTTAAAACCTATAATATATATATATAGGGAGAAGATCACATACAAACTCCTCTTCCGATGCAAACTACAAACTAATTTGGGTTGTTCGTTTGCAACAAATGAAGCGTGATCTGTCTACAGTGCATAGTATTAGATGTGGACTGCGATGCACAAAATCGTATAATAAATTCCCACTACGCCGCATCCGTTATTCCCAGGGTTACTACAGTAAAATTGCAAAACAAATTCCAAGCCTCGCTTCTTATATTAGGAAATAGTAAATTACACAATCCCTGATTCTACGCTAACCATCTCATGATGCAATTAACCGTCCAAGCATAAGGAATCTAAAAAGGGTAAGCTGTAGAATCCATTCTTAGTGGAAGTTGATCGTAAAGATGCTTGTAGACTGGTGCAAGGCTTTTAGAATAAAACGACTTGTGAAGAATCGAGGCCCAATATTAGTATAGACAATGACTTTTCAAGAAGAAAATTATATGAAGAGGGAAAATCGCAGGAAAATTGAGGATGGTGTCCGATGAAATTCGTTTCAAACTTGATAAAGTGCATGTGTGTGCTTTAAGAGTGCTATGCAATGTTGAGGCTTATTTGGTGCAAGCATTTGTGAAAAAGATGCAATAGAGTGTGTAATTCAATTTATGTTTTTTAGATATTAAGTTAGTAATGAGGTGCATGTGAAGGCATTGTATGATGCAGTTACTTGTTATATGAGGTGCATGTTGTAGGGTAGTAGTAATGGCTACCACAAATGTTGAAATCATTGAGCTGCTTGAAAATAGTTTAATGTAAAAATGTCATATGTGTACTATGTTGTTGGTATAGTACATTTATAAGGTAAATGATGCATGATTGTATGATAGTAGATGCATTTACACCCAAAATATGCACTTGTGTTAGTGAGGATGGTATATGCATAAAGATTGCTTAAAGGATGCAAGTATAATGTAATTACAATGCATCCTTAACAAAGCATTAATGAATGTGTGTGAGTCCATATTTTTTGCATACTATAACATGAATGTACATTTTACATGTTTCTGTGAAAGAAGTTTGGTGCAGCAGTTGTAGTTGCAATAAGCATTGGTGGAAAGAAATGGTAGTTTGAATTTTTAGTAATTGTTAATGTGATGAGAAAAGCTAAACCCTTACATGTACATCTATGTAATAGAAAATGCAGAAGAACAACAAGTGTACCTGTAAGATGAAGTTGTTCTAAGGAGGAAAGTAGATGCATGACTATTAGGTATAAGATGCAGTAGTTAAAGCTAATAGATGCAGGTTTTTGAATTAATTTTAGTTGTTTTGTGATGAAAGTTTTAATGAATTTTACTTATGTTGAAGTGCCCAGTCTTTCATGAAGTACATTTGTAAGGTACATGATGCATGATTGTATGATAGCAGATGCATTTACAACCAAAATATGCACTTGTGTTAGTGATGATGATATATGCATAAAGATTGATTAAAAGATGCAAGTATAATGTAATTGCAATGCATCCTTATGAAAGCATTAAAGAATGTGTGTGAGTCTATTTTTTGCATAGTGTAACATGAATGTATATTTTACATGTTTCTGTGAAAGAAGTTTATTGCAGCAATTGTGGTTGCAATAAGCATTGATGGAAATAAATGGTAGTTTGAATATTTAGTAATTGTTAATGTGATGAGAAAAGCTAAGCCCTGACATATACATTTATGTAATAGAAAATGTAGAAGAGAAACATGTGTTTGGAGGAAAAAGAAAACAATAAGGTGCATCAAATAGTAAGATGCAACAGAACAAAAAGAAAAAAGAGATGAGGAAAACGTCAAAAGGTTACACACTTGCACTGTTCTACATTTAAGATGCATTTGATATTCTGTAAATGTAATTTGAAATGATGTCATTAAAAGTGGAGCAGACGGGCCTTTGGTGAAATAGGTTTGAGGCAGGATGCGTATGCAGCGTGATGAAGTGTAGAGACCTGAAGTGAGGAGCAAAGGCATGAAGTTTTATGTGTTATGCAGACTTAACAGGGCTTTACATCCAATCGTAATAGATACTCGTTTCCTACTTGTGGAGCAATCTTCAGAACCAGCAACTTCAATCCTATTAGATACTTGTTTCCTATTTTTCGAGCAATCTTCAGAACCAGCAACTTCAATCCTATTAGATACTTGTTTCCTATTTTTCGAGCAATCTTCAGAACCAGCAACTTCAATACTATTAGATACTTGTTTTCTATTTTTCGAGCAATCTTCAGAACCAACAACTTTGGTATCTAAAACAGGACATGCATTATTCTTAAAACCAGCTCTATTACATAGTAACATATAATATACTTCATCACTATGTGATCAACTCTGCCCTTCTTTGATGTATGATGACGAATAGCAAACCCCACTGCAGCCGCATATTCCTTGTGAAAACTAAAATCAGCATCTAGATTAGGAAATATCATGCCAACAACTGATTTTTTTTCCGGGTGAACATTCTAGAATCCAATACTTTGAACCCCTAGGAGAAATTTGAAGACCACAATTCGCATCTATATAAACAACAAACGATCTCTAGTATTAAACAAAAACGAAAACTAATATTAAACAATAATAAACATATAATTTCAGTTAATGCATCATACAACATAAACAGATGCATAATACATATTTCACCTTGCAGATACAACAGAAACAGATACATGTACTGAATTGATGGTGTAGGTGCAGCAGGACAGTACAGAAGATGCATTGATGCTATGTAAAAGTGCAGTCGGATTGCAAGTAGGTTGTTTTGAAATTAATTATTTATATGATTATTGAATGCAAACTAGCTGTTAAATATTTTATTTAATACATGAATTCATTTTATGTGAGGCGATATATAGCTTAATGTTTATTTGTTATTAGGCACATACATGAACATGGATTGGATGCAGTAGCAACCGTGAAATCGAGGAACAGGATTGCAAGACATGCATCAGCGAAATCACCCTACTTAACTAGGGTTATTCATCCTATTGAAAGTAATTATGAAATTAATTCGTGAGAAGAAACATGATAACATTCATTAACAAGCCTACTATGTGAAGTGATGTAATGTTATCAAAAGCAATTACGAAAATCATTTGTGAGAATAAAAAGGATAACATCAACCTCTAGGCTGAATCAATTAAAATAAAAATGCACAAGCATGACATAAGAGCAAAGCACACGATCAACTTCTGAAGTTTTGTTTGGGTATGAAAACAGAGTTCATCAAGATATATGAATACCTGATTCCATGGCGCAGAATGATAATGATGGAAGATGATTAACGCAGCAAGTAATAATCTCTACTAGAAAGAAAATCGCAGAGATGAATACCAGAGCGATCAGAAAATTGGAATGAAAGAAAAACTGGAAGTACGCGGTTGAGAATGGAAAGTAACGAACGTGATTTTTGTGCGTTTATAAAATTTAAGTGATTCACCAAATCACCCTCAATCCCAATTAGTTGGCTGTGAGAAATCAAAATAGAAACGGACGGTAATCTTAATCAAATGAATGGATAGGATTAGTTTGTAGGTTAGTAAGTTAAGCCTAGTTTGTATTTGATCCCTAATATATATATATATATATATATATATATATATATATATATATATATATATATTCTGATCGCTCTGGTATTCTCATTTCTCTCTAATAAGAGTATGATCTTAGGAGAGAAATGAGAATGAATCTGGACCATTAGATTTGCTTTAAGTGAAATTCAGTGTGCATTAGATGAAACTATAATGTGCATTAGGTGAAATTGAATTGTGCAACACAAAGCGTACGATACAGTGACATTATGTGAAGCTGAATTGTACATTAGGTGAAATTGAAATGTGCACTAGGTGAAACAGAAATGTGCAGAATAAAAGGTACAATGTGATGAATTTTTTGCACCTTTTATTTCACACATTTCAAATTCACATAATCCACAGTTGAGTTTAAATTTTTATTCAACACATATAAATATCATCCCTAATGCACATTTCAGTTTCACCTAATGCACAATTCAATTCCACATAATACAATCCAACGATCTAGATTCATTCTCATTTCTCTCATGTGAGTCCGTTCTTATCGGAAACGCTCCCTATATATTCAAAACTTTGGATCTTATATATCCATATGTCCACTTTGCAAACTCTAGAATAGAGCTCTGAATCCGATGGTGGTAGTTAATAAATTTAATATCTACATAGTTATCAATTGAGGGTAATAGAAAGATGAATCTCAAAGTCAATCATATACTCCCTCTGCCCTGCTAACAATGAGACAAGAGGGAATGACACACAAATTAATAAAAAGTGGTTTATATGGTTGATATTGAATTGATAAACTAAGAATAAAGTAAGAATGATTTAGAGTCACACAAATCTTACCAAATTTGATATGGGACAATCTTAATGGGACGGACCAATAAGGTAAAATGTGACAATCATAGCGGGACGGAGATAATATTATACACTCAAGTCCTATATCACCTTTGTGGTTTCATGTGTCTAAGTGTTTTATGCATTGATCCTATTTAAGCAATTTTACCTGACCAATAATACTTCGATTCTTATCGTTTGGAACACCCTATTCGGCAAAATCCACTGATATTGTGAACATTACAGCTAAAATCGCTCGATTTATAAAACTTCTGGATTTATTAGAAATCGTAATTTTAGACTTTTAGTCAAAAAGCCTCAAATTCTTGGTACACACTCGGCACACTCCTGCCTACACGAGTGATTGTCACCTTTTACTGAACGAGTTATCTTCTACGTAGATAACTAGGGGGTGTACTTTATATTCCCTGTATACACCGACAATTGCTGTTGTTTTCTAAATGAAATGTCTGTATACACAGAAAGTGTGCCAAGTGTGTACAAATTATGTGTACAAATAGAATTTGTTCCAGACAAAAACAAAGACTTACTATTTTCAATAAAAAGACTCATATTTCCATTCAAAAAACTTCATATTTCTAGTAAAACTAATGTGAAATTTTAAAATATGAGTGAAATATTTTTCCATAAATAAAAATAATTACTGTCATTCTTGAAAAGTTAATACCGTCATATTAATATTTTTAATGCCAAACTACGACACATGTTCATATGTTGGAAAACAATATATTACTCCTATCGTGGAATTTGACATCACTTTTACTCCATGTGCTTTCTCGAGCTCGGAGTCATGAAGGCAAGGGACGGTCGTCTAGAACCTTTGGCAGGAAAGAAAGATATCGACGAGAAACGCATTTAATGGAGAAGATTTGGTGATTGGGAAGCTAGTCACTCATGAAGAGTGGTCTGATTTTTAAGAAAAGTAAAGTTATGTGGTTGATAATGAGTTGATAAATTGGGAATAAAGTAAGAATGAATTAAAGCCACACAAATTTTGTCAAATATGGTATGAGACAAAATTAGTGAGACGAATAGAAATAGAAAAATGAGACAATTATAGTGGGATAGGGGAAATAATTAAGGGTTGTCAACTTGTATTCATTACCTATAGCAATTGTCCCCTCTTATTCTCTGCTCAGATTAGACGATCGGTCTCGACCGACAGTAGGTAGCGCTGTAATTGTTCATTATTATCAAGTAATAAAAACTCAGCCTACTTACTAAACATTTCTACTTGCTTGCCATTTGTTGGTTGTGCCATCTATTATATTCAACCCACTAAACATTCCCTACAAAACCCAAAGAAAAGTGTTGGACCTTTGAAGTTTAAGGAATAAACCTCAACACTTGTCTATACAATTTTATGTAAAGCCCAACATCAACAAATCAAATACGTCCTATTTGTCATCAACCAAGTGATATCATGACATGGTAGAAGATATAATGTCTGAACTCGTTGGCACTGCAAAATAATAAATACCGCTTCACTTGCACTTGATACTTAACATTCTAGTATTCTAGACTCTTAGAGAATGTTTGAGAGTTTGAGGGGAGGGTTTGAAGGTTTGGAAGATCCAAATTTGGAGGGGAAATGGGGGAAAGTGAATGAAATCCTTCTTTTTGAGGGGAAATGAGGAAAAGTGAAAGAAATCTTTCTTTTTGTTTGGAAGATACAAATTTGGATAGAAAACTCAATGGAGTATTTATAATTAAGAACGTTTCAGAGTTGTGGCATATTAAAATGACTAAAGCTATATTTAGCACTACGTACAATTTAAGCAAAACTTGTCATTTAATTAGTCATTCAAAACCCCAAATTTGGGAGACCTAAAATTTGGGCATTTGAAAGGTCTAGACTCTAGATGCAAGAAGACTTCAAACACGTCCCTCCATTTTTTAACTCCCAAACAAAAAATGTGGATCATATACCCTTGATCACTGTAATACTTGGGATTTCCCATCCTATATCACGAATTTTACTCGCATCATTATTATACATTTATACCAAGTTCTTCTCTATCATTATACAAGGTGAAATAATACTTCTATATAAAAGGTGAATTAATACTTCTATATAATGAAATATACCCCCACCCCGGCCCCGGGCCCCACCTTCGAGAAAAAACTCTGATGTGCAAGTATAACCGGTGGGCGTAGCTCAACTGGTAGCAAGGAAGAGCCACAAGGGTTAGGTCCCGGATTCGAATCCTGGTAACTGCGATGAGGGGTTATTATGCTAAAAATGCATAGGGCCTCTGCAAGTACCGGGGACAGAGCCTCACTCCTTATCTGTCAGATTGGGATTATAGTTTAATTTACATACCGTCCGGTCGGGGTTGAGGGGGCCTTAGGGATGGGGTGTCATCCTTTTTTTTTCTAATGTGCAAGTATAGCCTTTGTAGAGTTTCTATATGGATGTGTCAATAAGAATTTTTATGCAATAAACATTTCCCGTATGAAAAAATCCTTCACTTTGCTAGTTAAGAAAACACAACAGAAATGAACTTTTGATTAGCCAGCATCGTAGTATAGTATAGGTTGACATCAAAACTACATTAACAATGTGCCAGTACTTTTGTCGTTAAAAATTGTTATAAATGCCTGAAGATTAAGCTATTTGTAAACTAAGCTATTATTCCCTCCGTCCCGTTGGAATGTTCCCGGTTTGACCTACACACATATAAAGGAAATAAACTTACCAGGGAGTAAATTTTACTGTTTCGACACTGTTTGGCACTGTTTCGACACTGTTTTGCACTGTTTGACCTTGTTTTGATGTAGGATAACTTTCCATTTAGGGAAATGAGAACTTTCCAACGGGACATCCAAAAAAGGAAAGCGGGAACATTCCAACGGGACGGAGGGAGTATTATTCCTGCCCAGCACAATCTAACTCAGCTTCTAAACCTCTCTACTTGTTGTAAAGGTACGCCAGAGAAAATAAAGAAACCTGCCATCTGGAATCATTATATCAACTGTTAGGATGTAATGACATTTTGAAATTGATCAATATTTTTATTTGTAAGAAACGTTGATGGAATAGATAAATACCAGAAAAGGATGCCCCATAGTAGGGAAAAGCAGTTGTAAGGAACCGCTCGTACTCATTGTGTCTGAAGGGCCTCACAGGAATCTGCAAGTAAGAATTTCTTAAGATTATATTAATGAATGTTCATTGTACTAAATAGGAGTAAAAATAGTAATTGCCCGTGCAGGACTAAAATACTAACACCACTGTATATGCATAAAACACACAGTACTATTACGCTAATCAAATGAGCCGACTGGCAAGGACTCGAGTCCAACTCGATTCTTACTTGAGCCTAACTTGATTTGATTTAAACTCGTACTCGAACTTGACTCAAACCAAACCAAGTCAAGCCCAACCTATAGACAAATTGTACTCAAAAAACTAGTAAACTACACGATTATGAATTAGTATTGATTTTTTTAGATTCATACATATGACATTATATCATCTATCCATCGTATGAATCCATGCATGAAAAATATACTTATCTTCTACTACAAATATACTAGAGATTCACATATTGCTTAACGTTTTAGACATTGTACTAAAAGTGTTATGGGGACTTTTAAGCAAATTTAAGTAGGATTAAATGAATTTCGTTCATCTTGAGTGTAAATAAATCATAGACAGCAAAGAGGGGCCTAATATTTAAGAGACAACTAAGTGGACAATTTAAAGCAGTGCTTTTATGTTTAAAAAACTATTGATGATTGCACATATGTGTTAAAACGTATATCAAATCAGACTCTTTGTTTAAAAATATACAAAGTATCATTTTTTAGAATAAATAAAACTCGAATACAACTCGAACGTTGTCTTTCTTTATTAAGCACAGCTCGATCTAAATTGAACTCGAACTCGACTCGCCTGATTAGCACCCCTAAGGCATATTACAAAAATAATAGAACCACTAAACTTTTGTTGCACAATAGGAGTCTTTTACTCCTAGAGAATATAACAATAATTAAGGATTAAGTAATGGACAAAAATACACTTCTATGACCAATTTAGGGTTCTCTATCCCCTCTGCGAAAAGCCATAGAAAAGGCACCAAAAAAGGAAAGCTTTG